CTCAAGCTCTCACTGTAGGGCAAGCCATGAGGCAGAGCCCCCTGCGTTGTAGCAGGGAACACACACTCCAGTTGCATAAACAGAAGCTATTTTCCCTCAGTCCCTTGGTGATGAGGCAGCTAACTGATCCGTCAGAGAAAGAACGAGGCTTTACGCCAGGAGGTTCAAGGCTTCTGGCTAGAGCTTCCTCATCGGCAAAAAGGAACAGCAATTCCTGTCTGGCCTCCCTTGGGGCTCTTCTCAGGACGAAATGCGCTAATGGTATGAAAGCACAGCCAGCTGTACAGGGCCACACCAACTACACGAAAGCAAGGTGACACCCGAAGGCAGGGCGCCCAGCACTGCAAACAGCCCTCCGTGTCCATGATGTGACAAGGCCCACAGGACGAGAGGTAAATGTGGCTCTGGGGATTCCAATGAGGAGTCTTCAGCAAGACACGGGACACAACAGTAACAGTGCAGGGTTACGCCTGGGAAGCTTGGTGCCCTCATCAACCAAACCTTACCTCTTTTCTGAACACTTCTTTGCTCTTTTTGGCCAGCTCGCTGGAGGTGTCTGCTTCTGCTGTCTTGGGTTTTTTCGAGGTCTAGAAATGGATGAGAAAATACAACACACATTGTGGGCCTGAGAAGTCAGCTTAGTGGTTTTTGTTCTTTCAGCTTTCTCAGAACCTTCCTTTCTTTCCCCTAGCGGCGTACCTGATTCTTGGTATTAGGTTCTATGTAGGTGTCTCCTGACTCAGTGGCTTGGCCTGGAGTTAACCTGGCTTCAGATGCCACTGTCATCTCCTGATTCAATCTTGTTAGCTGGCTCTAACCTGCTACCAGCTACAACCATGATGCGCCAAAACATTTCCATTCGTTTCAGGAATCGCCGGTCTCTGCCGAGGACTGTACTGTATAAACCCGGACCACTCATTTCTGGGCTTTGGCTCCCTCCATTTGTCGAGCTGAGCCTGGACCCATGAACTGCATTTCTCCTGGCTCTGACATTCTGGGATCCCAGGGCAAAGACTAAATATCATGTTCCAGAAACCTTTCACCAACCAACTGGCACCACACTGTGGCCCACATCCAATTCCCTATAGCCACCTTGAAATCTCACCAGCGTGCCTACAAAGGCAGACTGGCCAGACTCGGGGAGGCAGTCTTCGCTTATAGGGGATGCTTTTCACACCTACAGTTCAGGAAAGGGTAGACTTGGGAAGTTTCAAGAGACTAACTCAGTGTTGTCAGTTCTGACTCACAGTAGCCCTATAAGAACAGAAAAGAACTGCCCCTCAGGGTTTCTAACGCTGCAAATCTTGTATTAAAAAGCCAGATTAGGGGAGGGAGGGGGGAAAAATGAGCTGATACCAAGGGCTCAAGTAGAAAGCAGGTGTTTTGAGAATGATGATGGCAACATATGTACGAATGTGCTGGACACAAATAATGTATGTATGGATTGTGAAAAGAGTTGTATGAGCCCCTAATAAAATGATTTTTTAAAGAAGAACCAGATAAAAATAAAACAAAACAGATTTCCCCAACTTTCTCCTTTGGAGTGACTGATGAGCTCAAACTGCCAATGTTCAAGTCAGTAGTCCAACGTTTAACCCACTGTGCCACCAGGAGGCTCCATCAAGAGATTACACACCCCTCAAAAAACCAAAACCAAAAAACAAACCTCCAACAACCCTGACTCAATTCCAATACACAATGATCCTATTTAGGGGTTCTCAGACTCTGAAATCTTAGGAAAGGAAATCGCTTCATCTTTCTCTTGAGGAGAAGCTGGTGGGCTTAAACTGTCAACCTTGCTGAGATGAGCAGGGGTAAGGAAACAGGGTCATGTAAGATAGCAGCAAGATGAGCAGATGCTCAAATGAGTGACACAGCTAAGAAGGTTCCCTCCGGCACTGCTGGAGGACGGGGCTGGCAGCTCTCTTTCCCTGGCATTCAGAGCACCTGCGTGTGGGCTATCTCCTCACATCTTTGCCCACCACCAACCATCAAGCTCTTTCCCAGTAAATGTAGTTTTCCGAGGAAAAGAAAAATTATGAAAATTATCCCTGGATTATGAGCCACTTCAGGTGGATCTAAAACAGCTACAGGTGTGATTACAGGTACTTCGTGCTTTTGCTACAGCTTAGAACAGAGAATTCTTCTATGTTCCCCCATCTCCATAAATAATATGAAGGTGCTAAGCTGTTCAACTCCCTCAGCTCTGGCCCAGTCCCAGGCAGAGGTGGCACATCCTCAGCTGTGGGCTACTACACATCAGCTTTCTCTGGTTTGTTCTAAGAGCCTGCCATGCTTTCCATCCCTCCTCTGGCCGTGGGAGGAGCGGAGTGGTAGGGCAGGAAGAACAAACAGATTCTGGCTTTGTTTTCAGGAAACAAAAGAAAACACAAGTAACTGCTTTCAATTGTTTCCGTTTGAAATTGTGTGGGATTTTGTTTTTTCAGATGTAGAGAAAACGGTGTGCTTCAGAAGACGTCAATAATCAAGAACTGCTTGAATAAACCAAGGAAATCTTCACACACGAGAACTCAGAAGTGAGCAGAAACAGCAGGGGTACAGAAAGCCCTTTCTGGGAAGACAACCAACTCAAAACTCCCGGTCCTAGGGACTCGGCCAGGCCCTTGCAGAGAGCATTAGGTGGACAGGAATGTCCTGCTTCCCTCTTAATGGGTTACGTGTTCAGAAAGTTAAATCAATCCAGGGTGCATTAATAGCCTCTGCACTCTGGCAGGGTCAGACCCAGCCCAGGGAGACATACATGTAGCAGCCAACCAAAAAGGGGGAAAAAGGATGTGGGTGGGGGAAACAGGGCACGACCCACCCATAGGGAGGGTTCTGTTTATGTCTCCACAGGTAAGGGAAAGAAGAACTAGACCTCAACCTGGTGTGCCAAGACTTGAAGGCAACATACCAGCATGAAGCAGCAAACCAACAGACAGGTCTTCAGGGTTGGCCCCTATCCCAGCTATGTGGATCCTCTCCCCAGAAGAATGGGCCACAGAGGACAGCACTGAAAATACAGCCCAGGGAGAGGAGCAAACTAAGAGGGGAAGGGGAGGGAAGGAGAGAGTGACAGAGAATCGCATCCTGGCCCACCAAGCCCCGAGGATAATATTCCTGCTTGAAGCAGCCAATGCAGAGAAGACCGTAGGGCTAGCCCCACCAGGAGAAGACATAACGTCCCCTCACTGACTCACAGCGCTGCCGATGACAGCACTGGAGACACAGTGCGGGAATTGAGCCCGGTCTGACCCCACCCCCACACCGGGGTGAAATATGAAGGAAGTGCAACAGAGCAGAGAGGGGAGCAAAGCAATGAAGTCCCTGAAGAATCCCTAAACTAGACTTTGGCACCTCATTAGATTGGATCAGAAAACATTCATAAAGGTCAACAGATAGACCTGAACTATTTATAGGCCCCACCCCTCACCCCATGTCTATCTATATGATAGGCAGGATAAACAATCCTGGGGAGAACACAAAGTGACCAATGGTTCCAGGGGTACATGAGAGAGCGGGAGGTGGGGGAAAGCTGGAGGATGCCAACAAACCCAGGGACAAGGGAACAACAAGTGATCTAAAATTGATGGTGAGGAGGGCACAGAATGCCTGGTGGGTTTAAGCAAGTATAATTTAACCGAATGAAGGTCAAACATGATAGTGGGACAAGTGAAAAGAAAAAGGAAATAAGAATAAAAAACTGGATGGTAAATGACATTTATAGAGGTATATACAGGCACATACATATGTAAATATATATATAACAATAGGGACATAGGTCTATGTACATATATGTATAGATTAAGTATTAAGGCAGCAGATGGACATTGGGCCTCTACTCAAGTCCTCCCTCAACAAAAAGAAAAAAACTAATTGCCCACTGAGAAGGTGGGCAAAGGACCTGAACAGAAGTTTCACAGGGGCAGAAATCCAAATGGCCAACAAACATATGAAAAAATGTTCCCAACTTTAGCCATAAGAGAAATGCAAATTAAAACAAAAAATGAGGTACCACCTAACACCCTCAAATAGAGCCCAATTCAAAAAATCAGAAAGCAACAAATGTTGGAGGGGCTGTGGGGAGACAGAAACTCTTAATCCACTGCTGGTGGACCTGTAAGTACATACAGCCACTATGGTAATTAATCTGGCGATAGATATCTAAAACAGATGGAAATCGAGTTACCATACAACCCAGCAATCATCCTACTGGGCATATACCCAGAATAGGCAAGAAACAAACCAAGGCCAGACATCCGTGCTCCAATGTTCATTGCGGCACAGTTCACACAACTGCAAGGAGTTGGAAGCAACCCAAATTTCCATCAACTGATGAGTGGATTAAAAAGCTGTGGTACATACATACAATGGAGTACTATGCATCGCTAAAAAGCAGTGATGAGGGGGGTGGGGTGGGGGGAGAAGGAGAGGGGGTAGTTAAAAAAAAAAAGCAGTGATGAACGTATGAAGCACATTGCTGCATGGGAAGAACTGGAGGAAATCATGCTAAAAGTACAACATGAGTATGCTGAGGTAAGCTTTAAAAAAAAAACAAAAAAAAAACGCAAAAGGGGCCTAGGGAAAAAGCTACTGGGATGAGAACCAGGTAATATGGCAAGGACCAGACCAAATCCAGGGTTACATAAGGTAGCCAACTAAAAAGGAGGCGGGGAAAGGAAAAAATAATATAAAAAAAATGAGTACCGGGGGCACAGGGCACTAACCCACCCAAGGGGAGGGTATTGTTTATATCTCCACAGGAAAAGAGGGACCAGACTTCAAGTCCTCCCTCAACACAGGAACACTGACACAATCACTGAAGACAAAGTGTGTGCAGCTAAGGAGGTAAAGAAAGCTGATGGTGCCTGGCTATTACAAGATATAGTGTCTGGGGTTTCTTAAAGGCTTGAAGTTAAACAAGCATCCATCAGCAAGGAAGCAACAAAGCCTAGATGGAAGAAGTACATCCCGTCACAGAAGGGTCACAAGGAAGGGACTGGGCAGCCAGTGTGCAGTATAGCACTGACGAAACATACATTCCTCTAGTTCTGCTTCCTTCCCCTACTATCTTGACCCTAGTTCTACTTTAAAAATCCGGCTAGACCAGAGCATGGACACTGCTATAGACAAGAGCTTTCAACACACAGAAACCACGATAGATAAAACCCTCAGGACCAATAATGGGAGTAGCAATACCAGGATGGTAGGGCGAAGGTGGGGGGAGAAAGGGGGAACTGATCAAAATGACTGACATAAAACTTCCCCCCAGCCCCATCTCGGTGATGAACAACAGAAACATGAATGAAGGGAGACAGTGGATAGTGTAAGATATGTAAATAATAATTTAAAAAAAGAAAATAATAATTTATCATGGGTTCATGAGGGTGGGAGGTAGGGGGAGGGAGAAAAAAATGAGGAGCTGATACCAAGAGTTCAAGTTGAAAAAATATTTAGAAAGGATGATGGCAACATATGTACAAATGTGCTTGACAATGTATGGATTGTTTTAAGAGCCCCCAATAAAATGATTTATTAAAATAGACAGATAGATAGATCATCTTCTCATGTAATCCCTGACTTGGTG